CAAGCAAAAAAAATATGGCGACAGGCATGCAAAAGACTTGGAAGAGTTATCAGTTGGTGATGAAATCAGATATCAAACCGCAAAGAGGGAGTGGATAGGAGGAAAGGTGAAAGAGAGAAGAAATACAAGATCAATCATTATTCAAACTGATGAAGGAAAGTATGTGAGAAGAAATACTGGTACAGTTCATAAAACAAAGGCGAACATATCTAATCGAAACGATTTAGTTGTAATACCTAAATCTTGTGAGAATGTTACCCTCAATGATGATGATGTACCATCTCAGTTCAATCAAAGAGAACCTACTCTTCAAGATCATGAAAGCGGTAATGTTGTTGAAGAAGAGCCACGGAACGATAGATCTCACCCAGAATTGCAGCCGAACTTGTATGTAACAAGATCTGGACGATCAGTCAAACCGGTTGCAAGATTTGATGCTTAGTTGGTTATGTGTATTTTTATTTGTATATTCATCCATTTCTGTACCATTATACGGGGGATGTAACGTAAATACCATAGTTACTATATACATCAGTGGTGACAGTGAATAAAATAAAGATATTGTCAATCATAATTATTATATCTCAAGATAACTTTACACAAATCATCAGACCTGTAATGACATATGCGTGTCCGGGGTACTGCAGCATCCCACCTACTCATATGAATAGGTTACAGGTGATGCAGAACAAAGTACTCCGTATTATCACCAACGGTGATAGATACTCTCGAGTGGCAGATCTCCACGAGAGACGTGGTAATCTGCCTAGAGTCAGTGAGTACATTTTGGCAATTTCTAATAGATTCTACAAATGCCACATCGCTGGAAGTGACCGGAATATCACCGCAACCAGACAGCATCATAACATTTTCAAAAAACACGGGCTGATATATGCATCAACCGATGTTTTCAGAGAGCCTGGAAACCTATAGATGGGAATCTCCCTGGAGCCGCGGTCCCGTCCAAGACTCCACGGAGGATCCAGTCATCTTTATTTCGCAGGAAGTGAACTCTGAACTCGGCGGGGAGCGCTCCCATTGCCGTCCGAGCTAAACAAGAGGAAGGTTTTTGTTTTATAATTTCATTTTCCTCCACAAAACACAACACCCACCAATGATAGCGTCTGAACAACACTTCCAACCATTGGGTAACCTCAGTGAAATTATCTGTACAAAGGGCTCAGCCCTAGGTGATAGGTGATAGGCTTCTGCGACGAACATTTCACATATGCACCCACATTCCTTGGCCAACACCAGTCACCTCTGCTTGCTCGAAGGATTTTATCAATACAGTTCCAAATTGTACATAGTATACTTATTTATTCACAATGTGGATGTATTTATGTGATGTTAGCTAAAGATGGAAGATAATGAAGGACTTTAATAAGTTCGATATCTGAAGTTAAGCAGTGTCGAGCGCGGTTAGTACTTGGATAGGTGACCATTCAAGGAAACGCCGCGTAAGACCATACATCTGTAGCGGAATACCATATCATACCTACAGCTACCATATCAATGAGCACAAGATATGGTACGGATATATGCCGTCCTGCGAAGGGGACGTTAAGCCGGCGGTCCCGAGGCCATAATAGTTTGATACACAGGCTAGTGAATGCCTCTTTTGGTAGTGAATTACAATAAAGAACTCAATATCATGAAACAGATTGCAGTCAACAACGGATACAACGTTAATTTGATAAACAGTATTCTTTATAAGAAAACTTCATCATGAAGCTATTCAAGGAGTTTATCCTACCATCAAGAATAATGATCAACATTATACAACTTCAACCTATTTCGGATCATCAACTGAGAAATCAGCGTCAATTCTACATAGACAGGACTCAAAAGTGGCATATAGAACAAATAACACGTTGGGACGGTTTATCGAGAATGATGAAGACAAAACTTCTGAATTCGAAAAATCAGGGGTGTACAAACTCAAATGTGGATCTTATCCTAAGGTATATATCGGTCAGCCAGGTGGTACATTTAATCAGCGCATTCATGAACATAAGATGAATTTTATGAAAAAGAAAACAAATTCAACATACGCCAACCATATATTAGAAGAAAACCATATGTTTGATGATAATTTCAAAATTCTACACGTAGAAAATAAAGGACTGAAACTCAATCATTTGGAATCATTAGAAATCAACAAACTCAAAAGTTTCGACATTTTACTTAATGATCAAACTAATTCAGTGTTGTCATCTTGCTATCCATTTTATTCATCAATAAGGTTCATGGCGAAATGGTTGAGTTATCAGGTTCGTTAAAAATCCATCACAAGATAGTGCTCCACCGGAGCAAGCTTTTTTAAATTTTCTTCATTCTCCTTCAATATACTAGGTATATTCTCTGAATATTTAGAACAGTTCATCTCGAATGTTCATAAAACATCCCTAGAATATTTGTATCATATTGTGAAAATATTCTGAGAATATTCAGATATTCCCGAAGAATATTTCATGAATGTTCTATGAATGACATTGTGCTATATCTGGGAACACACACGAACGATACCTTGCTAACAAAGATCGATGTATACTTCTAGGAAAAAGGTTCATTTAGGTTACATCGTTAAGAAAGAGTAGTTTCTTTCGTTCTGCACGAAGGATATTGTCCAGAATTCAAAGAGTCATAGAGAAAAATGGTATAGCTTGACGCTTGTACCAGTCAATGTGGGCTTATCGATATATTCTTTCACACCTACATTTGGCAACAGTACATCCTCCGAGAATGTTTGGAGAATGTGCTCATATCGAAATATGGGCCTGACGAAATGTGGGCCTATTGAAATTTGCTGAAAGAGTCGAAATGTGAACCGAACGCCACACACTCGCAATATCAATGATCGGCGATTACATTTCTCTGTTCGGAATGAAAATTACCGAAAATTGGATTTTCAGGCTACGTATAGGTCAAGAGGGTCAGAAAAATGTATTCGGCATAATATGTTGTATACTTCCATTTTTTATACTAATTTAATGAAGAGGAAAGAATTGTTTGAGGTCTGAAGATTATGAACTCTCATCTACTGTAGACTACACATACCTGCATCAGTGCCTCTACCCAAAATATATTTTTGCACCAGTGCAATGTGGAGATGTGATGAAAGCTATCATAAATTTAAAGAATAAAAATTGTTCAGGTTATGATGGTTTATCGAATGTACTGTTGAAGGAAATCGCTGAACATATTGTTGTACCTCTCACTCACATTATCAATGTATCCCCCCAGCAAGGAGTATTTCCTTCTAGGCTGAAGATATCCAATGTCATTCCTCTTCACAAAAATGGTGATTTAAATACTGTGGATAATTATAGTGCTATTACTTCATGTTCAAGCATAGGCAAAATTTTTGAAGCTGTCGTCAACAAAAATTTTAACATTCAATGGTAACTTGTCTCTATGCCAACATGGTTTCACGAAGAATAGAAACACTGACACTGCACTTTGTGAATTTTTAAATAATATATATAAAGCTCTCGATGATGAACAAGTGGCACTGGGGTTATTCATAGATTTTTCAAAGGCATTTGACTGTGTTCGGCATGATATTCTTCTGTATAAATTGGAGAGATATGGAATTCGTGGAGTTACTCTCCAATGGTTCGCATCATATCTGACTGATAGACAACAGCAGGTTGAATGTAATAACTATATTTCTGATTTTGAATCTGTGAATATAGGTGTGCCTCAAGGATCCATTCTGGGTCCAACACTCTTTATTATATATCAACGATTTGATTGAATCAATGAGATCACACTCTACTCAAGTAGTAGCTTATGCTGATGATACAAACTTTCTGTTTATTTCAGACACTGTTTATAATGCTGAAAAACAGGCCGAACTGGTTTACATGAATGTTTGCAAGTGGGTTGATGTGGACAAGCTTTGTCTGAATAATGATAAATCGACCTGTGATATTTTCAAATCTTCTGGTTCAAAATATTCTAACCACATAACTCTAAATAATACAGAAATCAACTGCGCTCTAAATACTAAATTGCTTGGTGTTATTCTAGAAAGTAACCTGGAGTGTCATGGACATGTAGATAGTTTGTGTTCGAAGCTAGCTAGGATATGCTATGCCCTTTTCATTTCATCACAACAATGTAGTAGTGAAATAATTAAACAATTGTATTTCGGATGCTTCCACTTAAATTCAAAATTTGGAATCATGTATTGGGCGAACTCCGCAGAAGCTCATAGGGCCTTCACCTTCCAAAAAAGGGCAGTCCGTATCTTGGTAAATCTGAGAGCAAGAGATTCATGCAGGGAATATTTTAAAAAACTTGGTATCTTCACAATGATTTCCCTTTACATTATTTATGAAGTAACCTGTTTTGTATATAATCATAAACGTTATTTTGAGACTGAAAAAGTCGAACATAATTACAATACAAGGAACAAAGATTATCTGTTGCCTCCTCAACACTCATCTGCTTGGTATCAGAAAAGTTTATATTACAATGGATGTAAATTATACAATTGCCTTCCAAAATCTATACAAGAATCAAAAAATGAATTCCAATTCAAGAATGAAATGAAAATCTTGCTCCTGAAAAAATCTTATTACACCTGGGATGAATTCTTCTGTGATCCAATCATCGCTGACTGATGAATAATGTTTTCGAGTAGACGTTTATATACTTTTCATGTTTATGTACCTGTAAAATCTTGTATATTATTATGTTTGTTTTATACCTACGATATTTATTTATTTATGTACTTCATCCTGATTTTGACGTTTTTTCTCAAACTGTACGATTTTGAAACAAATAAATATATCTATCTATGGATTCTTCTTCTGATTATTCCTTCCGTTTCCAGGCCTTGTTTGCATGCTGAATAACGAATAGCAAAACTTAACATACCTATATTCATAGTAGAGAGATTCGTCGATAGTTTTATCGTTTGCCACCTGAAAATTATCAAATTGTACTTATTCTAAAACAGAATTCGTTTGTATCATCCCAATAGACATTTTACATTGCAAAAAGCGTAAAACTAATTTGATGAAAAGTCATCAGGAGGAAACTTCCACATCCCTTGAAAACTTCTAAATCTCCTGATACAATAAAAACGTATAAGCAGCTTTGATCATCTGAAAAAATACGCATATTAAAATAAAGTCAGTACTACAATCCAGATATCAGACGGACGTTCACGATCAGTTCATTGTCGATCACTCGAAAATCGCCGATGATAAGTACAAGTGGTCTTTGCACTCTGGCCATCACAATCGAAAGACTTCTCACTATTTCAGGACATTGGTCGTACCAGTTACTTTTGAATATCTGCAGGCTCAAATTTGTGCTCTGAAAATGCAAAAACAATTTCAATACCAGTTCACCAAAATCACTGACATAATTACTATATCTATACCTTTTCAACTTTAATTTCAGAATCGGTGAGCTATATATTTCTGAAAAGATAAACTCGATTTCATAAATGGTTAACTCAATTCCAGAATCGGTGAGTTGAATTCCAGAAAATATGAAAACTTGAAATAAACAATCCTGAATACACATTCACTATCGTGAATAAGTCACTATATGAATCTCAGTGTTCATGGAATGATGAGCGTGCATTCAAAATGGCATCCTACAGATACTATAGTGGTAGTTCTCGATTATGCACCACTTTTCATGTTATGGTTACCACGAAAAGGAATATCCTGTTATCGCATTTCTCAAGAAACAATCTATTGGATATAAAGCGAGAAAAATCCAAAACATTCACCGCTGAAGATATATACCAACAAATTCCTACAAGAAGCACCCGATGAAGCATATCTGTTGAAAACGATGAATTATACTTCATATTTAAACTCTTTGTTGTCATCAGAAAGACAGTGTATCTTTATTTCATTGCATCAATGATAGTAATGTTCAATTTTATTATCGTACTATGGCTCAAAGGTCTGAAGCTCAGGTTGCCACGCTGTTGGTCCAGTTTCAATTCTCGGTAGGCCCGACATTTTTTCTGTCTTGTCAGTTATTTCAATTTTTCATTTTTTGTTTCCTTTGGACATATGGGATAATATGGATGAGAACTTTTTCAACTATTTCAATCGCTCATTCATTTAGTTTAGTTATTTCCAAAAGCTGCGTTAGTAGAAAAAATCTTGTGTGTATTTCGAGCACAAAGTGTTATTGCCGCTCTCCAAAGATTACCGCGCCCGCTCCGCATCGCGCGTCTTTGTCGAGCGGCAATCTATCACTTTGCGCTCTAAATACACAAATAGCTAGTTACAGGTTTCTCAAACAAGGGAAAAAGCTTGTGTCCTTCGTCTCTCGCTTCATTTTTTGTGTATTTGTGCATGGTACAGCAGCACAATGTGATGGCATGCTTGAATAAATAAATACCTCAAAAACACAATTCGTATTCCAATAAAATTGTGAAAACAATTCCAATCCTTCGTAAACAAATAGGGAAATAGGTTGTTTTTCAATGTTTCACCTCCAGGGAGAAGTGCCTAAGTCTTTCGAACCGTTGTTGAGATTCGTGTTTTTTTATGATTATTTTTCGCGATAAAATTGTGGAGGATGAGTTTGGTCAGGGAATTCCATTCTTGTTCACGACTAGCATGGCGTCAGCCCACTGTGATCATTTGTGTAGTAATTTGAGCTTTCGAGGATGTTTTCCCTTCCTCTCGAGACTCCGAATGTCTCGTTAATAATTCCATGTTTTTTTACTAGCAAATGCGCATGCGTCCATAATGTATCATGTGATTCACTGTGACCAATCTGACAATGAGGTTTGGGAATAGTTGGCAAACTTTAGGCTCTCGTCTTCAGGGTCGGTCATTTGACACATTAGAGGCCTTTTCGGAAACCTACTCGGGTTGATATTGGTTGACTCGATCCTCAACCTGCACGTTCGTTAACCTTACCCGAGTTGCCTACCCGTGTTCGTAAAGCTCAGTGTTGGCTACTCGATCATTAACTCGGGTTCGTCTACAGTAACCCTACTGGAAAGCAGGGTTCATGAGAGTCTACAATGACACCGCATGCGCATTACCAAATGAGAAAATTTTGTAATATTGTTTTGTTCACCTTATTTGGTTAAACTATTAACATTAAACTGTGATTTCATTTGCGTATTGTTCGAGCGGAAAAAAATAATATCATGAATAAAAGGAAAAGTCAAACACTAACAGCATTAACCTTCGACAATTGTTTTGATGGTGATGATGATGATGAGATGGAGGAGGAAATATCACATTTGATGTTGTCTTCTGGTGTAATAAATAAATACTCTCCTAAACGAAGACGTTGTTTGTATTAAGAATTATGAAGACTAGACAAGCCCAGTCAGCACATCCTTTCGTTGTCAACCTCGAAAGATGTCGAACAGCACTTTATCAAGACTCCTTCATCCATAGAACGGCTACGCTCTGGAATTCAATGCCTGTGGAAGTATTCCCAACAACATATAATCTCCAAAAGTTCAAAAAAAATCCCATACCTACCTCCTGTTCCTATCCTCCCTAGAAACGCACGATGTTCTTTGAACATTATAGGGATTTCCTTTCGTGCGCTTCAAGCGATAAAAAAGTGATTTTACACTACTCCACTACAAGTAAAATGAACAGTTTACATAACTGTGTCACAAATTCATCATAAAAAAATGATTTTACAGATTTCCAGTGTCATTGTCGCTTAGAGAGAAGCACTATTCGAGACATTCTTGAGAATCCACATATTTCGCATCTACCTAGGATTTCCTCGTTCTGCATTTCTTTGGTTTTCAAATTTCAAGTGGTGTTCTCAGAACTGTGTTTTTTATTTCAAAAGATTTTGGTCATGTCTAAGTCATGTCGAATGAGGCAGAAGTAAATCTAGGTGTTCCTCAGGGATCTGTATTAGGTCCGCTGATTTTTCTGTTGTTCATCAACGATTTACCTACTTATATGAACTGAGTGTATTGTGTTATATGCGGATGATGTATCACTTGCCTGCTATGCGAATTCTACCGAGGAACTATATAATAACTTGAATATTCTTCATAATAAATTCAGTGAATGGTGTCGAATAAACCGCTTGATATTAAACACTATCAAAACTGTAGTAATGAGATTTAACATCACAAATAATATTGAGAATTCAATAATGGTGTCTACAAAATATTTGAACATGACATTGTCCAAAACAACAAGATTTCTTGAAACGTTTCTGGATAGTTCACTAACTTCTCGAAGTTGTATTAATCATATCAGTAGAAAGGTAAATAGTGGTTATTATGCAATGTTTCAGCTCAAAGGCACATTTAATCAACATCAACTACTGAATATGTATTATGCTCTGATATATTCTCACTTGACATACAACATACTAGTCTGGGGAAATTCGTCGACATGTGATAGATTATTTATTCTACAAAAAAGGACATTGCGATTAATTTTTGGACTTCATAGGATGATATCTTGTAAACCATATTTCAAAGAACATAAAATTTTGACACTGCCTTGCATATACATTTATAAATGTTTGATACGTCTAAAACTAAAATTAAATAACTTTTCTAGGAATTCTGACGATCATAATTATTATACAATCACTGAGAGAAACTGGATATCAAAAATATCTACCAGCTCTGATTGTAATAACCTTTATAAGGAAATCTCCTATTCCTGATCGTTTTATTATTACAACAGTATTCTCTCCATGCTGTAATTATAAAAATCGATTTCTTAAATCATTTGTAATACCCTTGAATGGACATTTGCTACCATCATAACGCAGGTGTGTTATGACATTATGAGAATTTTATAAATTCCAGTCTATTCAGATTTTTTATTGACATAGCTCGGTTTGTGAATCATGCTCATTGGCGAATTCAGATAATGTTTGTCCCAATAATCATAGCTGTTTGGGTTTCTAGCATTGTACGTTGACGAATAACTCTAGCAATTCACATGTATGACGGTTATTAGGCAATCATTCGACAATCGTAATTCGGCTCAGTTCGCTCTAGTGTTTCATTAGTATTGTGGCTGACAAAGATACAGATTTGCGTTCATTTCTCTGTTCTTGGTCATGGGTGCCCGTGTTCAATTATTGTTCAATGGTTTCGATCGTCCGAATCGAAAGAGCCGTGTCTTGTTGGTGAATGTCTGTGATGTAGCAAAGTTTTGTTTTAGTGCTGACTGTGAACCGATCTGTGGAATACACCGTGCATTGCATTATTGCAATGAAAAAAGTATTCTCCATACCCACTTTTCAAGGCCTAAAATTGGTTTATTTCAAAAACAAAATGATCGATGAGATTCTGAATCAAAATATCTGGGTTTTTGTGAGGGAAGTTTTATTTACAATTCTCATCATAACTCCGAAGGAAGGGTAAATATAAGTATTCAACTTCTCATTTCTTAATAAATTCGTCAGTAATGCATATAGATGATATTTCTCCGAACAAATCAATGAGTAATGTCAAAAAACTTCCACAGATACCCCAATATTTCAATTCAGAGACTAAACGAATTTTTTTGTTTTTTTGAAAACAATAACTTTGGATCATGAATAGTGATAGTGTGGATAGGATATTTATTTTCATTGCAGTAATTCAAAGCACGGTTTCATAATGCATACCATCGAATAATGTTGATAACCTTATTACCACTGTTTGATGAATATACTAGAGTAGAGAAATATTGGGATAACTGTTGAAAATGTTCGAGTCTGCTTTGTGCGTTCAAGCACAGCAGGTGATTTCTATCGTCCGAGCTACCCATACGGACGATAAAAAAGTTGTTTACCTGTGAGATTGATAACATAGATGTACAATACCTAATAATGAGAGTTAATACGTTTGCAATTGACTTTTCGGAAGTCAAAGAAAGGTTATCACCGTATGAGATACACACCTACATCGAGAAGAATTTGAAATTAAGAGAGGATGAAGTTACATCATTGGCATTATACGGAGCAAAAGTAGTGATCAAGGTAAAATCGGCTGAAATATTTGAAAATATCTTTGAGAATTACCTCAATAAATTATATTACATAGACCGGGATGGAAGCAAATGCACAGTCAATTTAATCAACGAAAGTTCGCGAACCTTGGTGAAAATTCACCGGTGCCCAATAGAGATACAGGATGGAGAGATAAAAAAAGTTTTAGGTGAATATGGGGTCATTGAGAAAATCACAAATGATGTGTGGAAAAACCTACCTTATAAGGTATATAATGATACCAAATTAGTCAACATGGACCTGAAAAAGGCAATTCCTTCTTATATTGTTATTGCTGGGAATTATATGTGGGTCACGTACAATGGCCAACAAAGAACATGTCGCAGATGTAATGCTACATC